GGGGGGGGGGGGGGGGGGGGGGGGGGGGGGGGTTTGGTGCTGTAACGACGTCAAAATGTTGGGAGGGGATCTCTGAGGATTTAGGTATAAGTAGTAACTATGATTAACGGCCACGCACACACATGCTCCTCATCATCGTCCACTCGCTCCATTAGCAGCTCCTCCGTCTCAAACTTAGAGATTCAGCACTTTTCCTCTGGGACTTCCTCGCTGAACCTGTTCACATATAAGTTGGACGAGGAACAGACACCAGCACGCCCTTCTTTGTCTGGAAACAATATTCATTTCAGTCGGAAATGTTTTCTAAGGTCAGACGAGGAAATCCCACCCTTAATTAAATACGGTGGAGGGGAAAAAGAATATTGTCTTCCTTTTGTCTTTGTGGAGAATAAAACAAAACCATTGGTAATTTAGAAAAACTCCCAAAAACAGACTCTTTGTCCCGAATGTCATTTAAAAACACTAGTTTTATTTACAGCATTATCACTTCAGTATAAACAAGCGTCATCACAAACTATAGTACAAAGTGAAACACACCTTTGTGTTTTATATACACACTGTTCAACACCAGCGTTCATTCGTGACAAATCTGTGATAAAATATTGTTCTTTCGTGAGCCGAGGTTGAAAGCTCGGGAGAAATATAAAAAGTGAACCTTGACTGTGAAATCCTTTAATATTTAATACACCTGCGATTTTGAGAAGTCACCTTTTCTTCTATGTCTAAGAAATCTCATGTAATCATCCAGAAATATTCAGGTTCCATCGCTTTTAGATGATAAAACTTATTTCCTCTTCCTGCGACCTCCTCGTCTAACGCTTGGCAGGAAAGCAAATAAGTTTCCGGAACCTGAAACTGTTCCTCTCGGTGATTTTTGATCCATTGATCGATGTTACGATAAGTTCTCGGAGCTGCAGAAGAGGCCGCTCTGAGACGCCTGCGGCTGAAGACTGAAACCAGCAGCTCTTCACTCGTCAGGGTCCAGAGGTGACGGCCGATCGGTTCGAGTCAGTTCCTGCTGATTTAACTCTTCATGCGTGATAATGAAACCTCACTAATGTCTAAATATAAAGCAGTGATTGAAAGTGTTGCTTTGAGCTCATGTTTCTCATTAATTGTTAAACTTGAATAAAAAACACGCTGCACATAAATAGAAAACTCAAAAGTGGCTGAAGCAAAAATGGCCTCCGATGTGGATCGGATCGGTAACTGTCGGACAAGCTTCATCTTCGCTGCTGGAGCTCGACGACTCCAGCTCCTCAACGTCTGCATGAACCAAAGAGAAGGAGTTCTGCAGAGAAAGTTCTGCTCCAGATCGTCACGACTTCTCTCTTCGCACGATCGTAACCATCAGCTCTTCACGTTTATTCCACACGATGCAGAAAAGTCTTAAATCCTCGTGTTGGCGTCGTATTTTCAGGCTGGTTTATTGGTTGAGTCTTCCTCGTGTTTGATAACTTCAAATATTCACCGGATCTTTGGTCCCACACGTCGTCTGTTTGTGTGACATTCATGAGAGAAAAAAAAAGAAAAGTGTTCGAGTGGATTTGTTTTCTGCTGAGAGACGGGAAAACGTCGGAATGAATCATTTGTCGTGAACACTAGCATAACTCCAAAAAATAAAAAATCTCAAGCGCCGAGGTTTCACACGAAGGGGCTGTCCGATCTGAAAATGTCCGGGTAGCTCTTGCTGTTCATGTGCTCGGTGTGGCTCTCTATGCTGTAGCAGCGGTGCACCTCTGTCAGAGACGACGCCACGTAGGAGGCCGAGCGGAAGAAGTCGGCGTTGGCGAACGTGCCGGCGAACTGCATCCGCTGCTGGTTCCAGTGTCTCCGCAGGACGCTCTGGACCTGGAGACCGAAAACAACAGGGTCGTCGCGTGAAGTAAAATTCATCTGTTCACATGTGAAGTTCAATACCCGGAAACTTTTACCTCTCAACATCAAATCTTGAGATATGAGATACTCGTAGTAACATTCTGAATTACGCTGATTACTCACCTCCCCGTTGAAGAAGCAGAATATTGTAGAAACCAGGAGACCCTGCACGTGAAGGGGAAATGAAATCAGTAAAAGAAATACACAAGAAGGAAAAACCTCCTGCACAGTAACGTCTCTGTGGATTCAATCTAAACTCTCGTTAATACAACTGTCAATGCATCCGACCATGCACCTCCTCCTGACCTGGTAGTGCATGAGGATCTCCATGATGTACATGTAGATCTCAGTGATCCAGTGCTCCTGGGGCTTGTAGGGTAACAGGACGAACTGGATGCCGAGCAGCGGGATGAGGATCAGCGTGGCCCTCACCGCCCTCATGTACAGGCTGGACTCGGCCTGGTGCGTCACCCTCAGCTTGGTGATGAGAACCCGCACGATGTTCAGGAGGAAGAAAAGGTTCACCTGGAAAAAGATGCCGATTTAAAAGGTTCTAAAGTCGCACGTGTGTGCGATGGTACAGGGGGTCAGAGTTCAGCTCTTACCACCAGCGCAGCACACATGGGGCCGTGGATAATGTACAGCAGGGACGTCGGACTGATCCAGCATCTGTGAAAGCAGGAACCATGATCAGCTCAGTGATACGTGAAATACACAAGTTTTCCACAAGGATCAAAGAAGACTCACTTGTCGTCGTAGTAAAAGTGACGAGCTATGCAGTAAACCACTGCAGGCATGAGGGGAAATCCTGAAAAAAATCAAACCAGAGCATCGAGGAGATCCGAGCTTTAAGTCACATGAACGTGCAACAGTGCAAATGAAAGTGCTTACTCACCCCAGCCCAGCATGTAATACCATATGAGGTGTTGTTTCTCTGCGAACACGGCCACGACGATGAGCGTGTGCAGGTAGATCCCCTCGCACAGCATCCAGAAGTAGTTGCAGCTCAGCAGGTACATGTGGATGAATATGACCAGCTTACAGCTCACGGAGTCGTTGTTGTTGTGTCCCGGTTTGTCCTTCAGCGTGTTCAGCATGACCACGGTGATGACGGAGTTCAGCACGAACGAGAAGAAGAGGTTTTTGTGGAGAGTGATCCTCTGGCAGCTCAGACTCCTGAAGGCCGAACAATTAAAGCTTTACCAGCCAGTGGCTCCGAACACAAACACGATGCACGGTGAAGTAAAGTCACACTCACTTAAAGTAGAAGAAGATTCCCAACGATATGAGCAGAGACACCAGCGACAGTCCTTGACCAATCATCACCAAGTAGAAGTGGGACATCGCCACCTGAAACAGAACCGACATGTCTTCAAACGTCCTCTGCAGATACTCAGGACATGGGCAGGATTTCTTCCCGCTCACCTCGTTGTGGTGCGTCGTGTTGCGTTGGCAGTTCGTGAAGTTCGTCCACGTGCGGTTGCTGTCCGGGTGACGCCACCACTCGCCCTCCTCCGTGCACATTTTGGACACCATCTCTGTAAACAGAGCTTGGGTTAGCGAAAAAGCAAAATGTGCTGCAAAGATTTTTTAACATGAAGTTAAAGGTTGAAGGTTTTTTTGAATTTGATTCGTTTGAGACGTCATGATTGACAGGAAATGGAACACGTGGAGCCTCTGGACAGAAATCAAACCATTCACCACTTGAGTCAAAGTCATTGTAGAAGTCTGGACAGTTCTGCTCTGTCCTTTTGCCGGCTTTGGTTCTGCTCCAACACAGCCAGCCGTCCCACGTCGCGTTGCACGTGAGCCCTGGAGACAGCAGAGGGACACGGCGGTCACATGACACCAGGTGTGAAGAATACCAATCCACGACCTTTGACCCGCCCGCTCCTCACCTTTGGCTTTGGACGAATGCGACTCTCGACTGATCATCTGGAAACATTCGTACTGGGCCCTGATGATCTGGTTCTGTGAGTGGATTCCGTGCTTAGCGTTCTCCTGGTGTTCAGCCTCGGCGCTCGACGCCACCAGCAGCTGTTTTCATGCAGCATCCAAGACGCACAATGAGAATAATGCAACTGTGCAAATACACAAAACATTTGAACCGCCACGTTTGAAGGGTTTACCTGATCGAAGGAGAACAGCAGCAGGAGAAACGTCACCCACCTCACGTCCATCTGTGCAAAACAAAAAGTGGAATCACTTTCCAATACTTTGTTTCTGAGCCGGAAAACACACACGGACCAAACTGTTCACTGCATCAGCCCGAACGTTATTTTTATGTTTCACTGGAAGTTATTTTTACACAATTCGGAGGAACAGGTAAAAAAAAAAAAACTGCAGCTCCGACCCAAATAGTTTCCCCCAGAGCTCAATAAGAATAATGTTTCCTGACTCGCAGCAGCTGCTAACATGATCCAACCCTGGCTGTGCTGACAGCAGCTGCATTCAGCCTCCGCTAGTTCACGTGCGGCGTCACACCCCCACACAATGAAATGGGAAACTGCTCCTGTACTTGTTCATTTTCTGAATTTCAAAGTTTAAATGTGTGTTTTCTTATTGAAAATGACTCAAATTCAAACTCTGAGATGCCGGTTTGTTTGTGTATATGAGAGGCTGGAAGGGATTTGTAAATTAGGAGCTTTATGTTTTAAATTGTGCATTATTGATTGATTGATTGATTGATTGATTGATTGATTGATTTTACTGTATGCACACAGAAGTACCAAACCCTCGTGAGCTTATTAGACTTTATTCCAACTTCTTTCCAAAACCTTGCGAATAAAAACCTGCTGCAACAAAACTTCCCCTCTAAAAGGAAACATCCCTCGTATCACAACAGGACAGTCAAACAATAAATGAACCTTTTTCCCAGAGCTCACACATCGATGGACTTTAAAAAAGAGTTCTGTCCTCTCAACTTATTACCGTGATTTACACAGAACATCAGAGTACATCTCTCTCTCCATGCTCCCTGTGCTGCAGACCCATGTTTTTAATTTGGGGGCGGCAGCTCTCTCCTGTTTGTACAAGGGGGTTAAACATGTGGCCTCTCGCTTCCTCTGTTCTCCACACTTCCTTCCTGCATGCTTATTATGCACGTTGAGCCAGTTTAAGGTGCAGCCACAAGACGCCAATAAAACAAATGCAGCTGCAAACGGTATTTACAATATTAGTAATAATGATGCAGAAAGAGAAGTTTTAAAAGTGTGGGTTTCCAGTCCTGCTGTGAGCTCATCTTCCCACAGATGTGTCTCCAGATGTGTCCTGCCGAGGATGAAGAGGCGTGGGAGCCGCGGCAGCGACAGATGTGGAGACAAAGGTGATTATACATCGGAGGGGTTCGCTCACTCTAAACATATTTTATGTGTTTTAGCAAGAGAAAGAGGTTTCGTAGATTCACAGTTTAATGCAAAGTGGAATTAAAACAACATTTAAATGAAACAAGCACATGAGTGGCCTTTCTGACCCCGTCACATTAAGAGCGCGGGTTTTTAACACAAAGCCAAATCATACATCATCTTAAAAAGCCTGAATATTGTAGAAGATGCTTGTGACTAAGCTGTTGCATAATTAAACGTAAGAAGATCTAATGAGTTGAGTTTCTGCAGCATGTGCGTGAAGACCTGCTGTGATCTTCACGTATATTTTATCACCAGTTTGACGTTGACTCCTGCTCTTTCTCATTTCAAATAAAAAAAAAACACTTTTAAAATCCAGTGACACACAACAACAAGGCCTTCATTCATTTCCTGCTCCGCTGGCTGTTAACACGGGAAATCTTTGTCACGTTATAAGATTAATATCTTCTCGAACACACCCAGAGACGCACATCACGGCTCCACACAGACACCCAATAACTCATGGAGAAGTCACTCCCTTGTTGTGTGAGCCATCTGTGTCAGAACTCTCCGATTCTCACACTTTTCCCTGAGACGAGTCTTTTATTGGAAACACATTGGTCGAGGAAATCCCTCTTCACCTCTTTTTGTCGCCCCTGTGGGCAGATGTGTTTTTTTTGTAGGTTAAAGATGTTTATGTCAGGAGGGAGAAATCTTAATAAGTCAGGCTTTAATGAGACAAACTGTAAAATACACATTTAAAAAGGTGATTACACGTCAGAGGCGTCTCTTTGAGGGATGCTGCTGTTTTTTTAAATGTAAAATTTGTAGTATATTATATATATTAAATGTTACTTCAGAACATTTAGCGTCAAGACTAAAATGTATGATTCAATAAAACCACATTGGACCTGTCGTCAGCATCACCAGCATGAATCAAACTGTGGAGTGATGAAAGAGACTCACCTTCTCAGAAGCAGAAGAATAAAAGAACTCAGTGTTGTCCAGTTGTTGAGGAGAATAAATCCTGTGAGTGTGTGAGTCGTCCTTCAGTCTGCGTCTGCTCACAACAGAGTCAGCAGCAACAGTGAGCCTGATAAAGACCGAGCTGTGGATGACATCACGTGTTGTCTTATGTGGAGCCAGAGGGACATTCCCACAATGCAGTGCACATTAGAAAGACTTCATTAGATTCGATCGTTTTTAAGATGTATAGGTTAAGATAAGATGAAATCACATAAGATAAAGTAAGATAAGAATTTTAAATTAAGGGTTTATATGAGGTCTGCATTAATCTACTTTATGTAACTCAATGTGTTTTCACGTGTCTCGCTTGGAGAGAAATAAGTGAGGAAAGTTTATTTTTATCTTTCAAACATATTTTTCTAATCGGTAGATCGATAGAGCAGGCAACTGGAATATTTATTTTAAAATAGAATTGTTCCTGAGAGAAAGAGTAAACAATAAGTTTAAGACAAAACCTTTTATTTAAAACTAATAAATCGCTAAAACCATTAACAGCTAAAAATACAAACTACAGCATTTGATAGTAGCTGGTAAGTAGGCAGGGTACTCACCACAGGGAGATTCTGTCGCAGCTTGTCCCACTGGGCTATAAAGGAATAAAACCAATTCATTTCAATGGGTTCAACTTGACAGAGGTGAGAAAGACATGAATGAATCTAACGATGGACAGTGAAGCAGTCAGTTGTCGAACAATGTACAAATCATGGACTATTCACACAAGAGGGACACAGTTCAACATAGATCAATTAAGACCTGACGATGGAGGTGAACCGGTTCAGGCCAAGCAGCAGTCTGGAACTTCTTCTGGAACTTCTTCTGGAACTTCGTCTGGAACTTCGTCTGCAACGATGAAAACATGGTGGACATAAACATCTTACATGATCTATGGCCGACCTCTTCACCATGGGGCTACACAGGATCAGTCAGGACACAGCTTCACCACAACTAGACAAGAAACCTCATTAGATCTCAACCACACATCAGAGTCCCCCCCCCCCCCCCCCCCCC